TTCCAAATAAAGGAGATCTGAGCAAATGTGAAAACTATAGAGGCATTACACTACTGTCAATACCAGGGAAGGTCTTCAACAGAGTGTTGCTGAACCGGATGAAAGATGCAGTAGACGCCCAACTTCGAGATCAACAAGCTGGATTCCGTAAGGATCAATCATGCACAGACCAAATTGCAACACTACGAATCATCGTCGAACAATCAGTTGAGTGGAACTCATCACTATACATCAACTTCATTGATTATGAAAAAGCATTCGACAGTGTAGATAGGAGGACATTATGGAAACTTCTTCGACACTACGGAGTTCCTGAGAAGATTGTCAACATTATCCGCAACTCATACGACGGACTACAGTGCAAAGTTGTGCATGGAGGACAGCTGACAGATGCATTCCAAGTAAGGACTGGAGTCAGACAAGGCTGTTTACTCTCTCCCTTCCCCTTTCTTCTGGTGGTCGACTGAATTATGAAGACCTCGACATCTGAAGGAAAACACGAATACAATGGACAACTCGAAATAAATTAGACGATTTGGACTTCGCAGATGACCTAGCCCTCCTATCACGTACACACGAACAGATGCAGACAAAGACAGCCAGTGTGGCAGCAGTCTCTGCATCAGTAGGCCTCAGCATACACAAGGGGAAAACCAAGGTCCTCAAATTTAAGGCGGAGAACAGCAATTCAATCACTCTTGATGGCGAAACTCTGGAAAATGTAGAGTCCTTCACATACCTGGGAAGCATCATCGATGAACAAGGAGACTCAGATTTAGACGTAAAGGCAAAGCAAAAGTCGCATTCCTACAATTGAAGAACATACGGAACTCAAAACAACTTTCAACCGATATCAAAGTCAGAATCTTCAATACGAATGTCAAGACAGTCCTACTGTACGGAGCTGAAACATGGAGAACTACTAAAACCACCATCAAGAAGGTGCAAGTATTTATAAATAGCTGTCTTCGCAAGATACTCAACATCCATTGGCCGAATACCATCAGCAACAGCCTTCTCTGGGAGAGAACAAATCAGCTTCCAGCTGAAGAAGAAATTAGGAAAAGACGATGGAAATGGATAGGGCATACATTACGCAAATCATCAAACTGCATCACGAGACAAGCCCTAACTTGGAATCCTGAAGGGAAGCGGAAAAGAGGAAGGCCTAAGAAAACATTTCGTCTGGTAACAGAAGCAGATATGAAAAGGATGAATAGGAACTGGAAGGAGCTGCGAAAGGATTGCCCAGGACAGGGTTGGATGGAGAATGCTGGTGAGCGGCCTATGCTCCTTCACGAGGAGTAACAGGCGTAAGTAAGTAAGTAACTTTTTATTTACTTAGTACTTGTAATAAGTGTCCTATTCATCATTACCTTCACATTCATTTTATTATCAATAGTATTTTAGTCATTTGATACAAAATATTAATGAATGGTATTGCTCAATATTTATGACACTACTTAGTAGATAAAAACTAAACTGCGAAACAGCATGATATATAAAATTAAGCGATTTGCTATATTGTAAGTTAGGATAGTTTTCTCTAATTGGTATAACTTAAACATACTACTTCACATAGTATTCCATAAAACATCTATGGTCTCAATCAATAAAATATGAAGCAACACAATATTATTAAGATGGAAAAACGAAAGAATCTTAGTTTTATGAAGTAAATGGAATTAGATAAGAATTTTAAGCGCTTATGTATTGTTGGATAATCAATACAACAATGGACGTAAACGTGAATCTTATTATTTTTTGAGATAACTAAACTTTGACACGTATATAATAATAATTATTATTAGCAATTAAACAAAACAGAAAACGCCTAAGCCACAGCAGGGCTCTGATAAACAATATATATATATATATATATATATATATATATATATATATATATATATTTGTATAAATCCACAGGAGTCTTAACTGATTGATCCATGCACTTCAACATAAAATTCGTTGAATCATGATTTTCAGTTACTGTGGTTAAAAAATGTATTAGATTCTATGATTAAAAAGATTCTCTGATTTGTAAACAATATTAATTTTATATAGAATCAACTGACACCTTTATACCTTTTTCCATAACGCTTATTAACGTTTTTCTACGGTCTGGTAACCTTAGATAAGTGGTTTTAATGAAGTATAGGCCTAACATTATATGTTCTTTAGAATTTACGAAGTGTGAGATAAAATATAAAGTTTGTGTATTTTCAGTCAAATAATCAAAAAAGATTCTTTTTGCAGTTCACACTTAAATATTTAACGCTTTTTTAACAAGAATATATTTTGGACGGAATGTGGTCAGAGAATCATAATTTGTAACAGCTTCAAAAAATAATAATGTGCCCACCAGCGGATAGTTGTGCGATAGATTTCATGATGTTCAATTGGAAATTGTAGGCAAGTGAGATAGGTCAAGTTGCAAGCAAGCCAGTTATTTGTTGTTAATACAAAATACAAACTACGGTAAATCTCAAATTTACTGAAATTGAAAATGAGGACTGCCAGTCGCTCTCTAACTTGTCTTCACTATCCAACCGGTAAATAGCTATTTTTATTTATGGTAATGAATATTTTTTGTGGTTACTGTAAGGATAAAATACATACAACTGCAAACAGTTCATATCATCAGGTAATCAATCAGTTTTCCTTATTTCAATTAAAACTAGTTAAAATGAAGACTAACTGACTGAAGTGTTGGTGGTTGGCGGATAAAGTATAGAAATTTGACGACGCTCTTCCAAACCAGAGAAACTGACTTATAATATATGACTTCAGTTATAACTTAGATGGACTAAACAGTCTGACATTTATCGATAAAAAAATTTAAACAGCGAATCATTAAATAAGGCTTGTTTCATGAATATAATTCCTTTAATTTTTGAATCACAGCTAGAAAACCCTCATCAGATAAAACAGAAAATAAGAAAGCATACAAATTCAATGAAGCGGCTGGTTATTAAGATTATTGCCAAAGCCATTTCATCACAGGAGATATAAGTTATGCACAGTTCATTTTGAAAGGATTATGAATTAAGACAATATGCCAATCGAGTTGCTTGTGTAATCATCATTATTACAAAGATAATTTTAATCAGAGACTAAAATCATCCAGAAAACTTTTGAAAACTGAACGAGACTGAATAGTGTTTTTTTTCACCCTATTATGGGACACCATAGTAAACTATATTTACTGTTGAATGTTGGATCATACTTTGAAACTATAGTTTTTAGGTAACCACACTACCATGAAACATATATCCTGTTTTATTGTCTATCGATATTTATTTAACCCCAACAATCTAATGATGATATTTGCATAGAATGATTAAAATTCTGCAACAGTTCACCACTGGTTTATTATTTTGATTCGACTCAATATGAGAGTCGGTTTAAATGTTATCTTTTTCTACTATATCGTCTTTACGGAGCTAGCAAATGAAATAATGCCAAAACCTATTTTGCATTATGAACCATAACACACTTTATAACAGTAATAAAGTGTAGTTAAAATTATTAATATGATTGTTTATTTCATTTACAATAATTATTTTTGACAATAAACTTTGTCTGTTATACGTGAGATCAACTGACTGGCTTAAATTAGGCAAAACAGAATAAGTTTTGTTAAGAAAATTTATTGTGACTGAACAACTTAAAGCGATAGCATGTACAATATCTACGTTATGTTTACTAAATTAAAATGATAACTGATAATCTACTGAGATATGGAGATGGAATTTATTGGCATCTGGTACCAAATTTTCAATACAAATATAGCTCTTTACTGTATCTCATTAAAATAAGTTAACCACAGTAAAAAAAGCAAACCAATTCTACTTTATGGAGTCTCAGTCACTTACAAAAATGTTAATATCTTTTATAGCGAATGGTATAATTGTTACGTGAAAAAGATAGTCTTTCATGATTTTCAGACTTCAGTAACAGAGATATTTCGCGTATGTTTTATGGATTATGTCACGAAGAACAGTAACCATGCATTTGTCAAGTCTATTTGAATATAAAGGAATGTACAAACAGCACATCTAGAACATACCATGTTGTATCCTAGCTATTAGTGTGGTTTTTGAATTGGATTGAGATATTTTCTGGTGTATGGATATAAATTTACCAGATTGCTACTGAAACAGTATGAAAATAATTAAACTGGTAAACAAGATTCTATCATTCATTTAAGGAATACATTACTGATATTCACTTATGGTATATTTGTTGCGAATGATCTGTTGTCCAAGTGAGTATTTTAAGTTGAGTTTCAAAATGATGATTAATTTTGTTGATCCATTCTAATAAATATTTCATAGTCCAAAGGCATTTCAGAATTTGTTCAGATTAAATGCATTCCTACAGTTTCGCCAATTGGAAACTTACAATGAATCTCATAGTACTGTGTGATTATTGTAACTATGCTATGGAATTCTTAGTACCATACATTCATAATTCGGACGTTGTAGTATGAAGCTGTACCATGTTGCATAATAATTCTATTTGACCTAATAGTTTATTTCTAGTCACCTTACTAATGCATCGGATAATTTGATGGTCAGACTGATTTAAAGTGTTTAGCTAGACATGGATAACCATCGTGAATGGCTACCACTGATGGACCTCAAAGTAAAAGAACATTCATTCATTTCCTCTTGACTTTCAATGAAATTCTATTTTATAATTCCCTGGTGCATTTCATGTTCATATTTAAATAAATATTAATTACATTAGATGTATTATGGAGATCTTTGAATTTTTAATGGTTAACATCACGGACTCTCGTCTGGGTATAACTGTTTAAGCTTATATTTCGATGAATAATTTGCATTGAATGCAAAAACTAAAAGAGCTGTGAACAACGCAGTAACAACAAAATTTGAAGAGTAAAATGAATTCACTCAATTTCAAGGTTTCTTATCAGCTGCAAACAGCCTGAAGTTACAATGGTTAATATTATTATGAAACACAGTTTTACATACCTTAGTTGATGAATTTGAGATTGATGTTCGAAACGGGACAGAAAATCATAAGAACTGAGAGAAGACAAAAAATATGATATTAAGATTGATGAGTATTTATATGTTGAAAAAGAAGTCATATTATGATGGGAGTGATGTCATAAACGTTAACTGAAAGGCAAATTGAAAAAAGGGTGATTATTCAATCAAATTACCTAGTTGATGCAAACTCAATACCACGATTGAATGTTAGTGGATCTCTCAAAATCACCAAATAAAACGTCTACATAATAGGTAAGTTAAGTCACCATAATTGTTTAACCATGGAAATAAGGGGGTTACTGGATTTTCTTTTTGTACATAAACGTCAAGTGTTTAAATAAATTAACCCCTGTCCAGTGGAGTAAAGCGGAGTCCGTTGATAGTTAATATTTTTGAACAGCTTTGTGCTACTCACCTTAAGCCCATTGTTCATTATGATCAATAATTTTACATTTGAACAGTGTACTTCCCTTCGAGCATTTTTAAAAAGCCTCGTATATCCCATCGTTTTAGTCCCAGCTGTATAACTGCCATCACAAATACATGTAAATTTATAGATACAATCGAAGATGACTTCAGAAGAGTAAAGATCTATATTGATTGATCCAAAGAACATTTTGTAACATTTACTTAAACTGGCTGGGGTATGTATGGAATTTTTTAAAGTGCCACTTTAATTCTTCTGTCGGTTGTATTTGCAATTCTATCCCTTCCTAATTCAAGGTGAGTGAGTACAGGATTTTTTCATTTTTTGTGAATTTGTAACATGTGAAAATGTCTTTTTCACACTTCATAATGAATTTTTTTAGAAATTCATTGTTTACAAGACACTTTCAATGTGTGCCAACGCTTCAAAAATTGTTTTTATTCTGGTAAATACTCATCTAAATGGAATAAATGTTATTCTTTTGCATCAATCTTTTTAATATCACATTCAATTACGCTTAAGTTCAAACTCACAGTAATATAGTGGAATTCACGAAAAAGTACTTCTGCTTCTTTTTCTAGTGCATGCATAACAATTATGTAATTTAAACAATATTAAATTAAAAATAAAGAGTGAAATGATATTTCATTGTACATTTTATAAGCGATTCCGGTTATGAAGTAAAATTTGGTAAATAACCACCGAAAATCAGGCTGAATTTGTAAGATCTTCCGTTCTAGTTTGCGATTATGTAGTAATATAGAGACACCAACTCACAGAAAATTGAAACACATATTTGGAATTATCGAGAATAACATGGTGCATTTGTGCTCCTATATCGAATTGAAATAAATAATTCAACTTCAGTCACTTCTGATAAACTCTAATCCTTGTACAATATTATTTAAAGAGTAACTGCTTCAGAGTTGACTTGGTTGACTCCAAGGCTTCCCAGAAGCACTTCAAGAAATCCATATAGTAGTTAGTCATTAGTGAGTACACGGTTATTAATTACTAAGGTTGTTTTGTGAAAATGTTTTATTTTATATTTATTCATGTGTATATATTGGTCTAGCTTATTCATTCATGATAGTTTTTTTAAAAGACTAAAAGTTAATGATTATTGATAAATAATTATAGTGTTTATCAGGCGTCAGGGAGGAGACCAAAGACAGTTATCATTGTACTTGATCCATTTTTTTCGCTATGTAAAAAACATTGAGTGAACTACAAAAGACCATTGTAGCACTGAACGATAATATAAAATGATCTTTATATATATGAAACTAAACATAAGTAAACGTTTATCGGTATATGTAGGTATGTGTGGTCTGAATTTATTAAAATCTCAAAATTTTATGTCTACCGCACACAACTTCGATGAAATCAAATAACTATGGGTATTTTTATTTGACTGAATCAAATTTTTCAGATTAATCTAATCTATTTTCATTCATTAAATTAAGTGAAAATTAACACCCAATGTGTGTGATACGCATTACAGTGATCGATTACTTAATTAAATTAACAAGTAGTACTATTAATAGTAATAAAAATAATACTGTGAGCAATAACGTGATTGATATGACATTGATCTGTTTTCTTTGAGCAATAAAAACGGTCTTTACAAAAGGATACAGAGTGTGTATAAATCTATCTCAAACTAGTGAGTGGTGTCGTAATCTTAATCGAAACACTCTATCATTTAAAAAGTTACTACTGAATACACTACTTATTTAGTGTAGACTTAATGAGTACTGTGAAATATACTGTGATTAGCTTTATATAACTTAATGTTTGTTTTAAGAGAAATTAAGATCCTGAGTTTAATAATAAAATAATAGGAAGTAAACAAACACAACACGAAAGAATTAACTACAGGAAAGAATGAAAAAGGAAAGAAATTATAGAAAATTCTTGTAGAATTCATAAAAATGACAAAATTTTGTTTTATACATAAACTGGATTTAATGTGCGATACAGTCCTTTTTATGTTCGAATTGGTCATTTATCTCAAACAGTGAAGCTAGATGGAAATAGTAGAAGGTGATAAAATGTTAAGGAATTAGTGGTATTAAATGGGGATGGTAAAGGACGACTACTTACTGTAAACCTAAGTAGGATGGTTAAGCTAAAATCTACGAAAAATAGCTAAAACTATATATATATATATATATATATATATATATATATATATATATATATATATATATATATATATATATATATATATATATATATATATATATATATATGGAGACATCAGTAGCCTCGTTTTGTCTTATTCATTTAACAATGATGATAAATTATACAAACACGTACTTGTATCCGTCCAGGCTCATTCAAGTAGTTTAGTACAACAGTACAGTGTCTTCCAGTATTATAGGAAATAATCAAGACATTTAGTATCGTCATTTGGTTTTGTGGTTCATTATGTCCTTGTGCACAAAATCAGTGAACGGTCTATATTTCAGATTCATGTCTGCATTATTGTATTTATATAATTAACACAAATAAATCAGACAATTTTCTAACAACTGCGTTTCAGAGAATAAATAGGGTGACTAGCCAGAGGTATTAGGTATTTCGGTAATAAATAAATTTCACAATCGATTTAAAGAGTTATTGATTTTAGTTCAAGATGAGATTCCATCAGGAGTTAAGTGTAAATTTACATGCGTGATAATGCAGCAAGCTAGACTCTCAGAAGTGGTAATATCAGCAGATACCTTTAATGCTCAGGCTAATAGTTTAAGCAGAAGAGAAAGACACTTTGGTGGGACTTACAGTGTCCAATCTTAACGAACAAATAGTGGATACCGGCTGTTGCAAATATACCCATATAATCTATGTTTGTTTCTAGCAGCCACCAACTTGAAACGTTAAGAGAGATATCGTGTGACATGTGCAACCGCCAAAATCGATCAGGAAATGGAAACAGATAAACGTGATACCTACCAGATGAGGGAAAACCAAGATGTGGCATCGGTTCATGAAACCATAAACTCTTCTACTGAGCTGCATAGGTAGGATCAAACTCCCTGGTTCGGGTCCGCATGCTTATAGTAACCAGTGGTTGAAGATTTTAGGCGTCATGACTTATAATTTTTAGAAAGAGTTCAGCTGGATTTATTCTTTATTTTCCGTCGGGTCCTGAGCTTGAAAAGCTTTTCATACTTATCTTATGATCTCATGAAGTTAGTTTTTCTTCTTAAATCATATCATCTGTTTCTATTCCTTTTTACTACCACTGATACTGCTAGCACTTCGACTACCATGGGTTGACCATGAATCGATTCAAATATGTATTAAGTTCTGTATTGAGTATAAGTGAATGACTTTTATGGAAGGTAAATCTGATGAAAATGTTAGAAATATAACAGAATACCTATCAAAGGGATTAAAAAACCATATATACAAGTGTTAATCTTTAATATATACCCTTAAAATTATCAGCTTTTTATTTAAAGCAATGAATTGCAAGTTAACAATCAACCATAAGGAATTTCAATATATATTCACATGAGAGATTTTGTGCTCACTAATCAGTGATTGCTTTTTAGTTACTTAAACTGATAAATCATTATTGATTTGCTATCTCAATAATCATTATTCGTATATCGATTTGACTGTGATTATACACAATTTTCTAAGATTATAGTGTTTATGTATTTAATTAGTAAATTTAAACCAAGTCATACCAGAGTGTTATGTAAATAATGGTCATTAAGAACAAATAAGATTATTTATACTATACAGATTAGCAAACTTTTGAAACTAAATGCCCCTTCGAACGGAAATATAATAAAGTTTAGTTTTGTATCGTAAGGAATGACTTTCTCATGAAACCATAATATTTGTTTACCAAAATCAACCGACCTATTTTTAAGAGAGTTCTTGTTTCTGGTTAATATTAGTCAGATGAGTATAGAAGAATTCAAGAATTACTGAGCATATGTTTACTTGTTAAATTTTAAGCCGTTTGTTATTATCCAGCCATGTTAGTAGATTTCCAAGAATTAAATTGCATACAATGGATTGAAATACAACATATTCATTATTGAAATGAAATTCCTGATTTTAACCGGAAGGAATAGAAAGAGCTTATCGAATCTCATTAATTTTGCGTAGTTTGTTTAAGTTGTTCTAAATTTCAATCCAAATTAATTCTATTGGTATAACACTGAGGTAAATGATTAGTTTATGAGATTTTCATTATTTTTCTGTAAAAAATAATCATCTATTCAGAAAATGGATCAATACTAGAAACTCCCTCGTTACCAGCTACAAAAGTTTTTCGTTAGCTCAAAAGATCAGAATTCATCTCAACTTTACTTAGAATATATGATTTATTAAATTGAAATCTATAGTAATATATAGCGTTATCTTAGACTGATTTTGTACCAATAACTAGAAATCGGAAATACAAAGTCACAATCGTCATTTAATCTAAAATATTGAGAGGTAATAAAAGTGATACTCGTTTAAACTAAAAAAATGCGAACAATAAACGCTTTGTTTACCTCAAAGAATAGTTGAACAATAAATTATAATATTTGAGTAAAGTGATATTTTCACAAACTCTTTTGATATACTACTCTATTTT